GACAATATTCCATAAATTATATTTCATTCATATACCCAAGCTCGATCCAAGCTCGGATCAGACATCTCCTCGTCTAGGGGTACGGAACGCCTAAATCCCGTACAAGATCCCGAGCCTCCTCTTCCATCGACAGCGTCAACTCAGGTATGACTTCAAACTGACATATTTACATTTCAACTACTTAACGATCATGTAAACAGAATTTTAAACTACGTATAATATAAATTACAAATGCATAATACTTACCTGAGGATCGTCGAGGAGGGTCGATAACTGTTTCCCAGTAGGACATCCCTCCGATCGCGATGATCTCCAATGATGCATTCGAGGGCAGTGTGTCTCCCGTCGCTGCTCAAAGCGGACCCCCAGTACAGGGATTGTTTCATACACCCAAATCTGTAACACATACACTTATTATGCACAAATGTAATATACTTAAACTTTAATTTTGATTATATTAAACATTTACTTGCACCGCTAAGGGCAATTCATATATATCGTATTTACGCATCGACCCCCTGAGCCTCGAGTGTGCTTTGGTGAAGACATGTATAGTGTCTTCGTAGCATCTCCGGCCCTATGGATAGTTGTTGAACGCATCGACCTTGTCAACAATTTACAAATGAAAAATGTTGATGGTAGTCTTCTTATAATGACACCTCATCACACTTTCGAGGATGTAGACCAGCCCAAACTTCAATCTATCTAGCATCTGGTCGCACCCCCTGATCGCGACCATTAGTCGGGTAGAAGCACCGACCTATGTTCCTGGAAGTACGTCTCGTACAGCCTATTGCTTCTCTCAATAGCTGTATCGTCGCCCGTAATTCTCAGTCCAGTGATCAATGTAAACTCAAACGTCGAGAGACTGATGACCTTGCCCCCGAGGTCGAACTAGAGGGAATTGTCGTCGACTGGCCTCAGAAGCCGACATAGAAGTGCATCGGATGATCTGTCCTGAGTACTGCACCTCTCGCAACTGGTACAGTGGCCACAAGAAGGACCGTCGTAGCATATCTCTGTGCTGATCATCGAGCAGCTCCAACGCAGCAGTAAAACTCTCAAAGATACCGTTCCAAGCAGCTTTCCCCGCCATCCGTCTCAACTCCCCATCTAAATGATACTCCATCTTGCAAAAATTCAAATGTTAGAGTATTGAACAAGAGATAACAAAATAAAGCATAATCTTACAAAATCAAGGAAACCGAATTCTAACTACCATACAATACGCATTAAAATAAATTATTTATAAAGAAAATTAATCACAAATATTACATTTGGAAAATATATTTAAAAAAAATCAAATTAAATACATTTTCAAAAAAAATTAAAGAATATAAATATTATTTAAATAAATTAAAAAAATCAAAGGTGAAAATAAAAGAACAATAAAAAGAACAAAATAAATTGTTAATTTCGGACAACATTATCTATTCAATTATTAAATTATATAAAAAAAGGCAGTTATAAAAATTACATCATTGTTATTTAATCAAACTAAAATAAATTAATTATAAAGAAAATTAATCTTGTAATCATTTGCATTTGGAAAATATATTTTCAAACAAAAAATTCCAAATTAAATACATTTTAAAAAAACGTAAAAAATATTTATATTAGTTAAATAAATTTGAAAAAAAATTAAAGATTATTTCATAAAAAAAGGGGAACAACACAAAATTGTTAATTTTAGATAATATTCAATTATTTATATTAAATAAAAGACAATTATAAAAATTAAATAAATAAATAACATAATTTAGTTTTAATGAAAAAAATTAAATTAATTACAAAAATTATAAAAAAAATAAAAATTAATATACATTTTCCAAAAAAAATTGCAGACGGCCCATTGACTGTTAACAGTCGGTCCATGACTGTTTATCAGTCTTGGGCCGGCTGTTAACAGTCAATGGGCCGTGTTTATCAGTCTTGGGCCGGCTGTTAACAATCGGATTGGCCAACTTTTTTTGACAGTCTTTTATGAAACTCGTCGAAAATCGTCATTGTCGACGTCATAGAGGTCCAAAAATTACAAAAAAATCACATTTTTCACCCCAACATGCCCACAATCTAATTACTCATGCTCATAAGATCTAATTAAACCCATTAAATGTCATATTATTCAATAAATTAACCGGAACAAAAAATGTAATATTATTCCATTTTGACAAAAATCTGCGATAAAACTAACCGATATCGTTCTTTCTGGAGTAGATCGTGCTTCTGGTCGGCGATTTAACTCACTACGACGTTGGTGTAGTTGGCCGGTGGTTGGTCGGTCAATTTTCAAGTAATTGTGCGACGGTTTGTTTTTTGGTCGGTCGGTTAGAGAGTTTTTGTTTGACAGTTACAATCTTGAAGGGTAAAATTGTCCTTTTAGTGTAAAGTTTTTTTTTAACTTAATTTTTTTAATTCATTTATTGGGTCAAAGGCTAATGTCAAAATTTGCTACAGTTCAAGAGCCATTTTCGTGTATTTCCTCTGAACTTTTATACTTCACCTACAATTTTTAAATTTAATATAAACACTCGCTCCGGATGTCAATTTCATGATAGTTATAAATAGTCATGAATAAAGCATACTTATATATCTAGAATTTCTAATTTTCCTTAACTTATGAAACTTCCTTTCCATAATGAAACTAACTTAAGATGACAGCATGGTTAACTAACATTAAGGGTGTGTTTGATTATATTTATTTTTCATGGAAAATATCAGTTTTCCATCTAAATTCCTACTTAAAGTGTTTGATTGTTATTTTTTTCCATGGAAAATATTTTCCAACTTGTGAAAATATGCCTAATTTTCCTTGTTTTTAAGGAAAACATTTTCTTTGGATAGAGGTGGTTTTTATTTTTCACAAAAGATGAAAAATATTTTCTTTTCTAGGTGATATTTTTCATGCTAATCAAACACACTCTAAGGTTTTAACTCCCTAGGTTTTTTAGGGTTTCTAGTCAAATGGTCTCATTCTTTTATTATTTTTATTATTATAATAATAATAATAATAATAATAATAATAATAAAACATAAACCAATTATTATGGAAATGTAAAAGAAAACTCCTATTTTACATCACCACATGCAGTGATAGAATTAATGGTATTCTCAAAGTAATGTATCCTACGAATGTCTTTGAACCTCATTTAAAATTCCATAATCACCTTTGCAAACAAAATCATAAATCAAAGAGCAAGAGATAATGTCATAGCAAGCAATTCACAATCAAAGAAAGATACATGCATTATCTACAAATATCATAATTGCCAGCAAAGTGTACTTAAATAACTTCTTCGACTAATGAAACAATCATGTGATGGGAATTTGTTTTGCAGTGAGTTTTAAACATCTGCTACATTTTCGAATTCTTTCTAAGGTTTTGAATCCGCGTCATAATTTTATCCTAAATTGTTTCAATCTCTTGGCCTTGAAAACAAACAGTTGATTTTGCCCTGTTAAGTCTCTATCCACTTTTATTACATTGTATAATGAATAATAAATATATTACAATAAAACACTATGATAGAGCCACAAGAATGCTGTCAAGCCAGTGTCCTTTTGTTCATCTTGAGCACACTTTGTAAAACCAGCTATGCTTTAAAAAATGGTCATTTTTTCCCCTCAAAATGCACTTTAAATCATAACTATTCATCCGGATTCCCCTAATTGAAAATGGATTTTGTCATACATACTTACATGTAAAAAAGTAGGTAAGCCTGTCAAGCTTGATATTTAGACTTACTCGATCAAATCGAGTAGTCTATGTTTATGTAAGAGACGAAATCAAACATGATAGACTAATGTTGTATCTTCGTTAACAAATTCGTATTTCTTTCCTCCCCCGAAGAAATATGTTTAGGTCAGAGTCAAAAACTTGTAAGAATAAAGTTTACATTTATTGTTGTAATGAGATGAGTATATTACAAGTTACAACTTTCCTCATTTGATTAACTTGTATAAAGAAATACTTGGTGAGTACATAAAAACAAGTAAATGAACACGGTATGAATCGCAATCATGATATTTTGTACAGAGGCGAATTTAGGTGGGAGCTGGGCTGGGCTTCCGGGTCCAATAGCTTTTTTTAAGGTATTTTTATTTTATTTTTGATAAAAAATCAGTTTTTTATGTGTAAAATTCTTTTTTTCGACATAGTAGCCTGGTTTGAAATTTTGTAGCCCGATCTTGGATCTAATTCTGGATCCGCCCCTGATTTTGTATAACGACAGGAAAATTTTTGGTTAATTCACTTGGTGATATGATGCGACATGTTTCTAAACTTTCAACCCTGTGAAGTGTATACTTTGTCACAACCATATATTAGCATAAAATTCGAAATTCATCCTATATTACTTCATTAAAAGAATAACAAAATCGTATATAGGATACTATAAGAAACGTAGAAAGAAACTAAAATGAGTATATTTCTGTAATTGTCGTTCCGATATATAATCAGTTAATTATAATTTTTAATCAAAATTAACACCGGAAAAAAAGGTGAGACCTTCTACTTAAGGAAAAGAACTCTGCTACTGAGCCCGGCTCAGTAACCGATTCAGGGACAGGGGGCTGAGGTGGCATCACCTAAGCTCCTGATCTCATACATTTTTCTTTTAAATTAGATTTAAGGGCCGAGGTGCTCCTGATCTCATACATTTTTCTTTTAAATTAGATTTAAGGGCCGAGGTGAAAACACCTCGACACCTTGGCTTTGGGCTTTTTTTTGGCCTGATCATGCCATCTCAGCCCCCGATCTCATACATTTTTTTTTTTTTAAATTCAGATCCAAGGGCCGAGGTGAATACACCTCGGCATCCTGACTTTGGGCCTGTTTTTTGACCTGGCCAACAACCACTTTCCTAAGGAAAATGATGAGTGTACAAGGGTTCTATTTTCACAGACCCTTGTCAACACTCAGAAACAATGGATTTCACACGGAGTCCAACTGAAAAAAAAAAACCACCCATGCATCTGATGTATGTGAGTGTTCGGTATGGTTTCGTACATCACAACTCCCCACCCAAACACAGCCCAAATCTCAACAAAGATTCCATCATTCTACACTTTACAAAGTACTCCGTCTACTTTCACAGTTTCCAAGAATTTGCTGACGCCCCCGAAGTACTTCTCCATCACACAGATTCCACAGATTATGCGTACACGCCTTCGTCTCAACTTTTGAGAGTCCTCATTTTCTTGCAGTTGAAAACTTTTGCTGTTCACTTTTCTGCATCTAGGGTTCCTCTGAAGTGAAGGTGGAGGATTGCACGAAGTTGGCCATGGATTCTTATGATTTATGTAGCATATGCCTTGACGTCTTCTGTCAAAACAACCCGGCTACGGTGAAACGCCTATATATTTTTCTTTCGCAATTATTTGCCAATTACATGTTTGGCTGAGCCTAAAATACCTTTTCGGAAAGAAACCTCTATCTTATTCTGTTGTTGAGTACTTTTGCTTCTATCAATTATAGCTTTATATATAAGTTTTGTGCTTAAGAACACGTGCTATAAGCCTCAAATGGTAAGAAACTTGGTTAAAACCAACTTTTTAAAGTTTTTCAAGCAGGTTTGGACCTCTAAAAGTTTTAATTTTAAGTCATTTTAGTTCAGAATTAACTTTTTTAAAAGCATGCTTTTACTTGTAAATAAGTAAGTTTGTATCTTTCCTGTATGGCCAACCTTTCGTTCTCTAAAATCATGTCGGATAATGTCTTATATATAGGTTACCAGTTGCAAGCATGAATTCCACCTTGGATGCATTCTTGAATGGTATCTGCTTGTGCACTTTCATTTTCTACTTCTTTTTTTATTTTTATTTTTATTTTTATTTTTTATACCTTGTCATTTTAGGGCATCTCCAAAGGAGACCCAAAATGGTGCAAAAAAAAGATTGTGTTTGTACTTCATTTGCACCATTTTGTTCTTAATTTTGACATAGAACAAATTTTTCTTCCCTTGTGTTCCTTTTTTCTTTTTTTAACAATAAATTTTAATAATTAATAATTTATTATTGTGGTGGTGGTGGTTATTATTATTACACTCACATCGAGAATTAGACGATAATACTTCTAATATTAAGATTTGAAATTCGAAACGCATTTTTTTTTTTGACGTTGAATGTTATTTTTTCTTAATTGTGGTATTTTCTGCTAAGCTCTTGTTTGTTTGATGGGGGATTAAAATTAGAATTTTAGTAAATTCGATAAAAGTTGATTAAGTAATGGTTGAAAGTTGTAGGTCTGATAACATGTACGATTAAAATTAATTATTGAATTTGATTTAAATCAAGATATATATTTTAGTTCGAGGGTTAAGCTTACTACATGTTTTAAAATTTACTATGAATTCAATGTTTTCATTAATTAAATGTAATTATTTATTTAGTAATTTATGTAGTAATAAAATAAATAAATCATTAAGTTTAAAAAAAATAAAATAAAATGATATTTATTTGATGTTGTTTTTGGTTGGAGATTTTCAGTTTAGTGCAAAATTTGCACCAAAATAGATTTTAGCCAAACCATGCATCTATTTAAAGTTTATCCAAAATATTAGAATATTTGTAAGTTTTGGTGCAATGGTTGGAGATGACTTTAGCTTAGCCAACCTTATATCCATTTAAAGTTTATTGTAATTAACTTTTCTTGCCAAAAAAGTAGAATTATTCTTCACCCTTCATCCTCTGGAGTTTTTAATGATTTTAAAGTTTTGATTGGTGCTGAAAATGTTTGGCTGAGATTAATAGTCAGTCACAAGCTTAAAAAGTAACTTTTAAGTAACGAGTGAAGATGAGAAATTTATGCCTACAAGTTCTAAACAGGTGCAAGACAGGATGTGATTGTCCAATTTGTTCACAACGTATCAGTCTGGAAAATTCTGCCAGGTTCGTTTTTGAGTTTTAGTTTCTTGTTTATCATTAATATTGATATGTGATTACTACATGTTTCATTTTTGACAGCCAAGAATTGCTGGAAGGAACAGAAAGAAATAGAGGAAGAAAAAAACTTAATATAGCTCCTCGAAGGGCCAATGAAAATTCGTCCACCTCTTGTCTCAAGCCTGGCGAAAATTCGAGGACAGATGCCCCATCCTCTAAGAAACAGAGGACGGAAACGAGGAAGACAAGGGCATTTGAAACTAACGAGGAGGACGATGTAAATGAAGAGGCTATGAAGATGCTTCCTGCCTACCTTGCCTCCACTATCGACACAATGAATAAATTTGTTGGCATCAGGGAGGCTAAGAGGGAAGAGTGACGAGGATATCCTCAAGTCTAGTGTCTCCCATTTAATGAAGATGACTGTGCTTATGGTGGAGCATGCTGATCGGATGGTGTACCTGAACAAAGCAAGCCGAAAGACTATGGAAGAGCTTGACGTTGCTCGAGAAGAGATAGCTGATCTTCTGAGGGAGAAGGCGAAGATGAGGGAGGAGTTAGACGCTGCTCAAATAGAGATCGATGCTCATTGTAGAGAGAGTGTGAATGCTTGTCAGAGGGCCAGTCGAGCCCGGCAGGCGAGTATTAGGGTGAAGGCGGAGCTGCAAACGCTGAAGGGATTCGGTGCAGCCAAGGGAGAGAAGCGCAAGGTTTACTCAGCTGTCAAGGAAGCTGAAACATCTAAAGCAATCAATTCTTTCAAACAGACGGAGGAGTTCGAGATCTTGAAAGATGAATTGTACATGGAAGGGGCTCATGCTTTGCTTGATAAAATTAAGGAGGAACGTCCACAGTGGGACCTTAGCTTTGTTGAAGAAAATGACTAGGTTTGTTTGTAGCCATTAAAGCCTTAGGATTTGTGTAAAGCAAAAACGTGTTTTGACCTTCCCCCGTGTTTTTGAAATGTTGTAATCAGTCATGGAATGAAATCTTTTTGTGATGATATTTCTCTGCGACGTTTGTCGATTTCTCGAAAAAGTAAAATTAGAAACAATTCAAGCAATTGCCTGATCTGATTGGTCATAAGTTTAGTAATACTTTTATGAGATGAAAATGAAAGTACCCCGTGTTTTATTGTTATTATTAATTTTTTGGCCATTTCTTGTGGTGAATGAATTTTATTAGACTTGTTTGCACTTTTTATTTTGAATTATTTTTGTCATTTTACATTAAGAACGAGTGTTTGTTTGGTAGGAGTTTTGTTAATTGATTTTTTGATCGTTAGAAATAAAGTGGGTTTTACTCGTTAGAGAAGAATTTAAAAATGACGGTTGGAATAGTAGGTGAAAAATTTAATGTTAATTGGATTAAAATTTCTATCAAACATGCTCTTAACTTATTATTTGTTGGGTGCTTGAGTTGTTTTAAATGCTAGGAAAATGAAAATAGTAGTTTGAATAAAGTTCAGTTATGGTATGGAAGTTCCATAATTAAAGTTGGACATAATAATTTCATTTACAAAATATTGAATAATTCTTGATTTGGTTCGATTTTCTTTGTATTCATTCAGTTTCGGACTATGTGAATCCCTATTTAAACCAATATAGACATTATCTTATAAACAAGAGTGGTTAGAAGTGATCTATCCTTATTCCTTCTTACCCTAAAATGCCCAATTGTCTCTAGTCTTTTTTCTATTGAATCAAATGTAGTTTAGTTTGAGGATTCCAAAACGTACCCAAAAAACAAGTTTTTTGAGGATGACAAAAGATCTTCCATTAGGGGACATGTCCTTATCACATTGTGTGACCCAAGATCTACTTTCACGCATTACACGCGCTATGAAAGAAACGTGGGATTTTGTTTGCTTAGCTTGGAGATGAGGTCACTCTTAAGACAGTTACAGCTGGCCATCCAGCTTCACTCGGCTTTTTCTTCTTGGGCCGCTCCATCATGGAGCTTGTGGCTTAGCTCACTGCTCATTTGTTTCCACTCTATTTTTTGAAATTTAGCCTCCATTTTATGTAAATGAAAATGAGTGAAATAGTTTTTTTTTTTTTTTTTTTTTTTTACATTTGATGCAATCAAAATCGTACTTCTAGATTTCCCGAGCTTGATGACGGATGTGGAGCGCGAACGTGATCTTCCGATACCTGAAACAAATGCAACGAGGTGTGTTCTCGTCGCCCCTTCGATACTTAAGTCAGAAAGGAAAATATATGCGTGAGGTTATGTGCTGAAGAGTAATGTAAAAACGTACCTGAATAATGGCCCCATGTTCTGCTTTTATAGGAGTAGGTAGTGTGCTCCTAGTAGGATTGTGTTGGTTGGATGTTTTTATCCAAGGGAATTTCTATTATAAAGAGTGTCCTACTTGTAATGGAATTGTTTGACAAGTGGTGTCAGGGTTGATGTAAAATCCTTGGGTGTTTAGGTTTGTTAGTTAGGTACCCAGGTCTTAGAAGGAATGTTGGTGGTGTATGTCTCGAGAACTATTCTCGAGGACATTGAGAGAATGTAAATGTGTCCTCGAGGTATCTCGAGGACTGCGACACCTCGAGGACTTAGGGTGACCCCGAGGACCATAAAAGAGAAATGAGGTGGGGTATATATTGAGTCATCGTGATAGACTCCTCGGGGTATATCAATATTGGCATAGTCAACATGTAATAATATTTTATGAAAAGTTGTGTGATTAAAAATGGAAGAGAAAAAAATGAAATGAAATTTAATAGGATCCAAACTAAGGTTAAAAAATAGTAGCCCCTGTTCTGTCATTTTGTTAATTTTTCGACTAACTATGACATCTAACAAAGCGAGATTGCACAGGAAGGTAAATTGAAATGCAACACAACACGTGGAAATTGTGGTGCTGGATCTCAGTGGCGGATTTTCATGACAAAAATGGGTTATTGGCGAAGGAGAAATATAGTTGTGATGATAAAAATTGGGGTAGATGGATGAGACAAGATATTTTCATTTTCTTTTCGTTTGCCAAATTCTGTTTTTTTTTTTTTTTTAAATTGAAGTACGGGTATAACAATCATTCTCAAAAATTAATCTTTTAACAGTCAAATAAACATTTTCTTGTTAGATAGAAATTCGACCTTACATTTAAAATCTCACTTTTAAAGATTAAGTAGCTACCGTTATACTTGATGAAATATTAAGGAGCCCAACCATAATTTTTTTTTCACCGAAATACTGAAAACAATATGGCATTGAGAAAAGCACAAACGGATCAAAAATCAAATACAAGTTTGAAATAAAAATAGAGAACTTGGCCCGTAGCTTAAACCTGTAACAGGCGCAGCTTAAGGCTTAAGCCGGGTTTTACCAGTAGACCGGGAGATAGCGCTAGCCCGTCCGAACCTTAAAGTATAATAACGTGATTTTACATTTTAGCCCCGCCCAATTTCCCCATCTCACTTTCCACCTGTCTCCTTCCTTCCATTGTTAACCTCTGGGCATTCCCTCTTTAACCATTTTTAGGAGACACTCGGATAAGACTTGCTTCTGTAATGATAAATGACAAGTGACATTTTTCGAAAGAACTTGTTTTGGCTAATTTTACAAATCGAAAGCTAATTATGTATGAAGTGATATTGAGTGGGTAATAAAATCAATAAAATTGTCTTCACGTTCACACATTTAGACCTTGTTTGATGACTATTATTATGTAAAAAAATATGTTTTGGATAGTGAATTTTTAGAGAATGTGTGGTTAAAAAATAAAAAAAATAAAATTGGATTTACTTGCAAAATAGCTTATTGTGTGTAAATGTGTTATAAAATGCGTATTTAAAGAGTGTTAAATAAGGCTTAATCTAGAAAGTATGATTTCACTCCACATCACATGAAGACGATCCCGAATTTGTGTACGTTACTCGATAATCTTTTAATCATTAGTACTTGTTTGTGCTTTGTTATTTGTAAGTAATGTATTAAGAAACAGTGATTGATGTTGAAATATATGATTTAAAAAAAGAAAAAAAATTTGATTTGTGTGTAATATTATTTTAATAAAAAATTTATGACTAAAAATAAAGAACAGCAGAAAAAATAATGTGATAGAATAATGGCAAACAAAACTTTAACAAGAAGAGAGGCGCAAACTAGGAGTTACTTGTAACGAGTTTTTACGCCTAGACACAATAGTAGGTAATCATTAATTCCACCCTTCGTGCTTTGCCCTTTGCCTCTACTTTAAGATTCCACCAAACAAAACAATACAATGCATCACGAACCACCTCCAAAATTAATTTCCCAGTCTCCAAAGAAACCCATTCTAGAGAGAGAAGTCAAATTGTTTTAGAGATAGAAAGTGAAGTTCTTCAAGGCCATGGATTTTCTCATCTATGGCGCCTCCAGTTTCATCTTCTACACAATCTTCACTGTTCTTGTCGTCACAAGTGCCGCATTGAAAGAAAATCAAAATCCATCGGCAAAGAACTTGGTTGCAGGGTCCTCTAACTCTGTCCAGATCAACTCCAACTCAGTTCTCGTAGCCCTTTTGGATTCTCACTACACTGAGTTATCAGAACTCGTGGAGAAAGCACTTTTGCTGCAAACCCTTGAAGAAGCAGTTTCGAAACATAACATTACTATCTTTGCTCCCAAGAATGAGGCTTTGGAAAGGGATTTGGATCCCGAGTTTAAGCGATTTTTACTCGAGCCCGGGAATTTGAAATCGCTTCAAAATCTTTTGCTTTTTCATATGATTCCGACTCGCATCGAGTCGACTCGTTGGCCGGTGGAGTTAGAAAAACCAAATCATCATAACAGCTTGGTCCGGGATTCCAATGGCGAAACACTTCAGGTGGTTGAGAAAAATGGGGAAAAACTTGTAGGCATGGCGAAGATTATCAAACCTGATGATATAACCCGACCCGATGGAATTATTCACGGCATTGAGAGAGTTTTGATCCCGAAATCGGTTCAGCAAGATTTCAATACTCGCAGGAGTTTGAGGTCCATTTCTGCTGTGCTGCCGGAGGGAGCACCGGAAGTTGACCCAAGAACACACAGACTAAAGAAACCAGCACCGGTTCCCGCCGGTGCGCCTCCCGTTCTACCCGTTTTCGATGCCATGGCACCCGGTCCGTCTCTGGCACCGGCGCCAGCTCCGGGCCCAGGTGGACCCCACCACCACTTCGACGGCGAGAGCCAGGTGAAGGATTTCATCCAAACTCTTCTACATTACGGTGGCTACAATGAAATGGCCGACATTCTTGTAAATCTCACATCCTTGGCAACCGAAATGGGACGATTAGTCTCTGAAGGGTATGTATTGACAGTTTTAGCTCCAAATGATGAGGCCATGGCGAAATTGACTACAGATCAGTTGAGTGAACCCGGTGCGCCGGAGCAAATAATGTATTATCATTTGATACCGGAGTACCAAACGGAGGAAAGTATGTACAATGCCGTGAGGCGATTCGGGAAAGTCCGGTATGATACTCTCCGGCTGCCGCACAAGGTGGTGGCGGAGGAGGCTGATGGTTCGGTGAAATTCGGACAAGGTGAAGGCTCTGCTTATTTGTTCGATCCTGATATTTATACAGATGGGAGAATTTCTGTTCAAGGGATTGACGGGGTTTTGTTTCCTGCTGAGGAAAATAAGGCTGCGCCATCTAAACCCGCCGCCACCGTTGCTAAGGTTGTCGGAAAACCCAGAAGAGGTATGTTCTTTTAGTCTTCTTAATTTTCCCCAATTTTCAGTTACTCCATTGAAGGATCTTTTTTTGTTTCTTATGTGAAGAAATTATTTATGGATGTGTTCATTCTGTAAAAATCTAGTTGGTTTGGATCATTCCATAGATATAATCAGATTTCACTTTCTTGGATTTAATTTAAACTAATTTTCTTGGATTTATTAACCAATAGATGATGAATTAAGCATGCCCTTTTGACAAATTATTTAGTATTGAATGTTAGGTAGTGAATTGTGTCGGTGCAGCATAAGAAAAAGAATGGCATCCCAAAATCATCAAAGAACCCTTCTGATTAGAGTTGGTAAGCTTAAATAATGGATTATATTCAAAATGTACAATTTGTAAGCAACCTTGACGAAGGACCCGTTTGGCATGCTTTTTTAAGTCAAAAGCTACTTCTTAGACTAAGAAGTTGTGTCTGTGCATGTTTGGATAATTATCTGAAGTGTTTTGTTTGGCTTGGCTAAAAGCATTTAGAAGAAACTGACGTAAACTAGTTTCCTCATTAAGCTCTTATACAAGAAGTAGAAGCAAAAGAAGAAACCCTATCAAATGGGCTCCAAGATTATAAGAAAATAATAGCCGCTTTTAAATAAATTTTTGTTTCCCCCCTATTTGACAACCATTAATTGGGGAAAGCAAAGTTTTGAATAGTGTTTTTTAGGAGAACGTGTGGTTGAAAAGTAGTGACAAATTTTGGGTTTACGTGCAAGATATTTTATCGTGGGGTATTGCTTATTTGTCAGAACCCTTGTGCTAGAGGTCTTACAGGGCATCTCTCATGAGGTGGGTCCACCTCATTAAAAGAAAAGTACCCCATAAATACTGACCCACCCCTTTTTTATCTAGCAAATGGGGTCTGGTAATGTAGCACAACCCTTTATTGTGTGAATGTGTGATTGAAAATAAGTACTTAGAAAAAAAAGTTTGAAATTAATTGTTATTAAACATGGGCTAAGTAAAAGTTATTTTTTTTTAAGTGAAGTTCTATTTCCAAATGTGTTTAGATACATTAAAGTTACTACTTATTTCTTACCTTATGTTCCAGCTTTGACTGAGCATACTTATGAAAATACATTCAATTATTAATTATATATTCATAAGTCAACTTTTTAAGCTTAACAAAACATGTTGAATCCATGTCATGAAAGATACATTCAATTCCAGCCTAGCCTTAGCTGTGAATTTTCTTTATGTTCTATGATTCTTTACTTCTATGCTGAGACCAGCCTGTCTTTTGACTTATTCTTATGCTTTACAACACATTCTGCTTGATATTTCATAATTCTACGAGCTTTTAGACGACGTTGTTGAGTATTGTACTAGAGGAGACAAATGTTTCATGTTCTATTTATCTTACCTCGATGAGAAAAAATATAAGTAAACATGTGACAGTTGAAACTTTTAGATAAGACAGTTTTATATGTATCTTTGACTAAATCACAATGATTTGCGGAGTTTGCTAATTTATATGCTTGAAACATTCTCTACTTACGACTGCATCAATAATATGTTTTTGATGTCGAACATGTGAAGAAACTAATCTTATGCTTGGCATGTGAAGAGCTTCGGTAGGATATTTCTATGTTACACACATGGTAGGATCGTTCTTTCAAATCACAACAATCGGACCTCGAGCCACTTCAGGGTAACACCTCGGCAGTCGGTAGGGCTTGAGGTCCGTTATTTGAATGAAGGGTCCTACCATGTGTGTATATAAGATCGTCCCACCAAAACTTCTTTAGTTAGGTACCAAAGAGGAGGGAGAAAAAAAAAAAAAAAACTAAAATTTTGTTCGGACACATTTTTGCTAGTGTGATTGCAAGATTTTTGTATTAATAATTGAGTGACTCCTGGATTTTGTTCTGATAAATGCAGGGAAGTTAATGGAGGTGACATGCAGTGTGCTTGGGGCCATTGGTCATTTTACAAGCTGTCACTGAATTATTACTCAGAAAAATCTGAAAAAGAAAATAAGAAAATGCAGGAGATTTTTTTCTTGTTATTTTGTTATAAATAGTAATGTAATTACATAATCCATTTTTTATTTTATTT